GAGTGAGAAAACACCAACATATTTCTCCTGTTCTGGCCAAACTGCACTGGCTGCCCATTCGTTTCTGCATTGACTTCAAGGTTCTAATGCTTACCTATAAGGCCCTAAACGGTTTAGGACCTTGATACTTGGCAGAGCGCCTGCTCCAATCGAGATCTACTCGGATCACCCGCATGAGTCAGGTGGTGAAGCTGAGGAGCCTGACACCAAGGGAGGCCCAGAGGGAAAAGACACGAAGCCGGGCCTTCTCGGTGGTGGCTCCTCGCCTTTGGAAATTCACAAGGCTCCAACACTGGGTACTTTCAAATGCCAACTGAAAACATGGATGTACATCCAGGTCTTCCCTCCTGTCAACTACTGATTTATTTGCTTTGCTATTTATTATTTATTTATTCCTGCACTATTTGTTATTGTTGTATGCTAATGTTTTGTATGTTTTTTTAAAAAATTGTTTTGATATTCTGTAAGCTGTCCAGAGTGGTAGAATATACCAGATGGGCGGGCTATAAATTGAATGAATGAATGAATGAATGAATGAATAAATAAATAAATAAATAAATTCCTCTCATTTTCTCATATACATAATACGGTTCTTGTTGGTTAGAGTGTTTAAATCAGAGTAATTTCTTGGCTGAATCAATCAAATCAAATGTACTCCCTTAGCCTTACAAGAAAACTGATTTTGCCTCAAATAAACTACATGATGAGAATCTGGTATAAGTCAAATAGTGTAAATAACAGTAATGCTGCTACAGTATTTAAGAAGTTGGTGCTTGTATCTCTTGTGACACTACAAGTCACATAACTGGTATATGACAAAAACTACAGACCTCAACTACTTCACTAGCAGCAACCTGCCAGTAATTTATGCAGTCTGATTTATGCTGCCATGTGCCGCTAATAAGCCATTGTTTGTAAGATATTTACCTGTAAAGAACCTTTTTGGCTATTTCCACATCACTTTTCGATTGACACAAATGTAGTAATGTTTTCAGTTCATCTTTAAGAATGATCCTATGATTTTTTAACTTTTCTTCCAGTGTTTTGAAAAATATATCTGCAATAGAAACATTCATACATATATACATGCATATTTATCTGATACATAATGCATCAACTTAGACATTTCATTTGAATGATCTTAATGCATAAAGACAGGGCTTAGTTACTCTGAGAGGGATAAAGAATGTGTGGCCCTCCGAGATATCATGTGACTGTGATTCCCATCATAATTTAATGTTAGCAGATGTTCGACTGATGGGAACTGCAGCCAAACACCTACTAGATCACTATTCCCTACGCTTAGCATGCTTTCTGATATCCTCACCAAAAATCAAATCACCATGCAAGAAGTCTGCCCTTAAATGGTTAGGGGGCTAATCTGATGACACAAAAATAAATCCCAATTATCATTGATCGCAGTTAATTTGACTCAGTCTTTGCAAATGATGATATTTGGGAATTAGATTGTCTATAGCTCTTGTTTCCTCACCCATCCACAGGAGGCTGAAGGGGTGAAGATGCTTAGCATGTATTTGCTTCAAGGCTAAATATTAAACTCTTGTTTCCATCAAAGAGGCAGGAAACCAGGGCTTAACTCCCCACCCATTTACATCCTGAAATGAAGTTGCAACTGTAAAATGCATCCCCAGAACTCATCAGCACTGTGGTATTGTCCCTCCTTGTTCTAAGGTTGCTCTGGGTCATTCTGCTATTTTTTTTGTTGCAGACTTGAAAAGATCACCCCAGTACTGGCAACCACATATGGGGAAGGTGTTTGTTCCTTGATAAGTTGTAGGGAACTGGCACATCCAATAAAAACCAATGGATACAAGGAGAAACAATCTCAGGTTGTCTGGGATAGGTGACAATATGTAGTGTCTTTATTACGTGGTGAAAAGCTTTAAAAACTTTCTTAACATGTCTCGGCAGGGACTTCATCAGAAGCTTAAAAGTAAACATATTTACAAAGTTATAAATATATACATATTAGGTATATTCTTAAAAACCATTATATGGCTGAAAACCTTACTAACTCATTAGAAAACTTATAAAAACCAAGCAAATAGGACAATAAATGTGGTCTTCAGTCACACACACACATACATATATATGTGGCTGAGGACCAATATTTTAAACAATTATAAAAAGTGTTAAAGCCTTATAAATGACCTCAATAAGCGAAAGAGTCAACCCATACCACAATATTTATATTTCTCTGGTTTGTATCAGCTCCAAAGTTGGAATATTGAAGCCAAGCAGGGAGGCATTTTATTCTCAGCTGAGCCAACTTCGTATTTACAGCACGGGAAGGAAATTAATCTCTTCTTTTAACCCTCGTGGTACTAGTGTGGTCAGTCTTAAAATCCAATCAATCTCTTTTCTCAATAGAAACCTGTCTTGGTTAACAGTAACTCTTTCAATGGCCCAAAATGCAAGATTTTTTAATGTATGGTCTTTTTCTATAAAGTGACCAACAAGAGGGTTGCCTAATCATTTTTTTAAAAATATTTCTCAAATTTCTCCTATGCTTTCTCATAGTCTTCCCTATATAGAGTTTTTCACACAAACATCTTATGGCATAAACCACTCCTTTGGTGTTGCAATTCATGAAGCTATTGAGAATGTATATCTTATTACTCATTGGATCATTAAACTCCATCATACGCCTAGTGTGACTACAATAAACACATTTCCCACATGGAGAGTGTCCTTTTGGAGGGGAATATTCTGATAAGAAGCTAGGAGCTGTGGATGGTGTGTTCTCTTTAAACTCACTTCTCACTAGCATATCTTTGATGTTCCTAGTCCTTTTGAAGGATACAGTATCTGTAACTGCTTGTCAAAAACTTCCAAACATCTGCCAATGTCTTCTAATACATGTTTTCATTTGATTTGTAACATGATCGTGTGTGAGAACACAATTTATATGATCAGTGGACTCTCTTACCTTATTATCTAAAAGATCCTCCCGTTCGATCTTGATAGTTTTAGATAAGTTGCTGTCTATGATTACCCCAGTACTGGCAACCACATATGGGGAAGGTGTTTGTTGCCTGATACATTGAGATGCAATGATTCTCCCTGTACTACCTGTCCACATGTATCCAAAATGGCTCCATGAGTCTCACTCCCAACCCAGACAAAAAGAGATGGTAATAATCTCCTGTCCTCTTCTCCCCTACTTCACACTCTCTTCTTTCCCATCTTTGTTTTATCTGCCTACCTTTCTCAAACCTTCTTGCTTTCCTAGCAATGCTTTCTATTTTCTTTAAATTTAGCTTTTGCTTTTATTTTATGGAACAAAAATGGTAATCTATTAAAAATTTAAACCTCAAAACGTAGGAACAGCTGATACCTTTTCTGCTTTCTCTCTGCCTACATGACTCTCTCCTTCCTTCAACTCACCCACCTATCATTCTGAAACCTTCACATTTCATTTAGTTAAAAAAATAGTTTTCACTTTTGTGCCATAGAGAAAAATATATAATAAATAAATAAATTAAAAAAGACAGCAGAACACAGGAATAGCTGAAACACTATAAACATAGAAGTTATGGAGAGGTTGATCGTGATCAGCACAAAAATGCTCCAGGGAGAACATGGTGCTCAAAGTGCATGGATCCAAACACATCCACCGGGGCCCACACAAGCCGATCAAGTACTGGAGCAAAGCAGGGCTGATGCAAAAACAAGCAGCTGGAAATCAATGTTTACCACTCTGCCTTGACTCTGGACACTGGTTTCAACTTTACATTGTGTAGACACTGGGATGCGCTGGTGGTATCACAGGTAAAAGAAAATTTGAGGAAATGCTCTGTGTGGACATCTTATAAACCACTAACTACAGTTATTCTTCACAACGACTGAACCTGATACATTGAGATGCAATGATTCTCCCTGTACTACCTGTCCACATGTATCCAAAATGGCTCCATGAGTCTCACTCCCAACCCAGACAAAAAGAGATGGTAATAATCTCCTGTCCTCTTCTCCCCTACTTCACACTCTCTTCTTTCCCATCTTTGTTTTATCTGCCTACCTTTCTCAAACCCCTGATACATTGAGATGCAATGATTCTCCCTGTACTACCTGTCCACATGTATCCAAAATGGCTCCATGAGTCTCACTCCCAACCCAGACAAAAAGAGATGGTAATAATCTCCTGTCCTCTTCTCCCCTACTTCACACTCTCTTCTTTCCCATCTTTGTTTTATCTGCCTACCTTTCTCAAACCTTCTTGCTTTCCTAGCAATGCTTTCTATTTTCTTTAAATTTAGCTTTTGCTTTTATTTTATGGAACAAAAATGGTAATCTATTAAAAATTTAAACCTCAAAACGTAGGAACAGCTGATACCTTTTCTGCTTTCTCTCTGCCTACATGACTCTCTCCTTCCTTCAACTCACCCACCTATCATTCTGAAACCTTCACATTTCATTTAGTTAAAAAAATAGTTTTCACTTTTGTGCCATAGAGAAAAATATATAATAAATAAATAAATTAAAAAAGACAGCAGAACACAGGAATAGCTGAAACACTATAAACATAGAAGTTATGGAGAGGTTGATCGTGATCAGCACAAAAATGCTCCAAGGAGAACATGGTGCTCAAAGTGCATGGATCTGCACACATCCACCGGGGCCCACACAAGCCGATCAAGTATTGGAGCAAAGCAGGGCTGATGCAAAAACAAACAGCTGGAAATCAATGTTTACCACTTTGCCTTGACTCTGTGGACACTGGTTTCAACTTTACATTGTGTAGACACTGGGATGCACTGGTGGTATCACGGGTGCAAGAAAATTTGAGGAAATGCTCTGTGTGGATGGACTTGCAGCGCATCTTATAAACCACTGACTACAGTTATTCTTCACAACGACTGAACAACTGGTGACATCTATATCTGAAGAGCATACCTTTTTCACCATACCTTTTCTGTGCAACTTGTAACTTGCTCTGTTGAAATGTTTGTAATTGAAGAATATTCTCTGGTAACAAATAACGCTTTGCTGAAAATGAAAGACAAAAAGAAAGCTACACAGAATAACTCCAGCTATTTAAAGCTTTGGTACCAACAGATACTCATTTTTTCCTCTGTAAGAGAATTTTAATACACACACACAGAGGAAAACTAAGAAACATCCATACTTCTACTTATTAACAAGGCATCAATGTGGTGCAGGGTATACACAGCCCTGAGTAGACTTCTGTCTAGAAGGGTGGGATATAAATCCAATAATAATAATAATAAAAAAATTATAAATAGGATGCAGGTGACCTGGGTTCGAATCCCCACTTGGCTACAGAAACTCATGGATGAGAGAATTGATATCTTACCTACTCCTTAAACATGAAGATCCCTAAGTAGCTGTATTGATCCACAGACATTTGCATCTGTAACAGATTCCCCTCCTAAGAAGTGCTATTAGCATATATCCAATATTTAAAGTCAGTTGAGAGTTAAGGGATAGTGAAGGGGCAAACAGGCAATGTAGTAGTTAGCTCAAGATCTCCTAGGTCTTTCTTTTTCTAGTACAACCACATTCCAGTTCACAACCACTGGGAACAAACTGCCTTTAAGTGCCCATTCAAGACTATGCCAGTGCGCACTTTCACATTACCAACCCAATGACTACACCATACACTGTCTGTGAAAATGTGACCCCTTTGTGCAGAACAAACAGCCGCCTGTTTGCCCGATAAAGAAGGGCAGCCTTACTCTTGCAGATGCCCAGGCCATCAGGTGTCAAATATCACGGAACAGCAGAGGATTGTTAGGTGTTCAGTTTTGCACTGTTTCTTAAACGGAAATGAAGCAATGTCTCTGGGATTTGTCTCACCATGTGCCAAAGCAACCTGGCAGGCTTTCTGTCTTAAGCATGGAGGACGGGCACGTGGGGCAACAAACACCGCTGTTCTGCCTCAAACAGCAAAATTACTTAGGCTATCCTAGACTGACCTATTTGCAGATATCCATGTCTGCATCCTTTCTTTTAAATCTGACAAATAGCTCTGCCACACTCAAAAGCCTACTGATAGTATTCCCTACAAAATAAGGAACCAGCAGGTGCAAGACACCCAGACAGCTATACAACTACCCATCTGATAATCTAGCCTAGCAGCACATACAGTATTCTGAACAGGATACGGCCCTTTCCTAGTTCATAGCCTATGAATCGCAGAGGTGATCCTAGGACAGCAGCTTAAGCGCTACAAGGAGCCTGCAATGTACGATGGGGATGTGCAGCTCTCCGTTCAAATGTCGGCTACAAGGAGACAGAAGTGCTTCCAAATCTTGGGTCCCAGATGTTCTTGGACTACAACTCCCAGAAGTCTTCACCACTAGCTGCACTGGCCAGGATTTCGGGGAGTTTTAGTCCAATAACATCCTCCCCCCCCAAACCCAAGGTTAAGAAACAGTGCCTTTCGCAATCAAAGTCT